TACATAATAATTGCACAATTTTAATTAATCACATCACATCGTAATGCGTTTCAAATCGCATAATCTGGTGTCTCTAACTGAGTTGCGAAATAGTGAAATCCGCTATGATCATCATTATACTAAAAAATCAATAATAAAACGCGGATTTCGCCCTAACCCGATCTACAAAGCGGATTTCACTATCAGGTTTGATCCTGTTCTAAAATTATTCAGCTAATCGAAATCCTTGCCAATTAACCAATAAATTACGGTATTTCAATACAAATAATAGGACAATTATAGCAAACCCGCTAACGCTAAGAAGTAATTTGAATTATTAATATCTTAATACTCTGTCCTAGATGAACTAACATGTGCAGCGAAAACTGATGATGTAACCAATTAACGTACCTTTACGTTATATTTACGTATATACTTTTTACTATTACTTCAGAAGCATACATCACTGAAATCATGTCATATTTCAACTTTATTACACATTCGTTCTTTAATTAAATGCTTTAAATTCTTAATCATGAATAATACGCCATAGTCTCATATTTCGGCGATCTTTAATCATAATGAAGTTTATACTAATACATAAAAGTTAGAGAAAACTTTTTCACAAAGCTAAAAATACTAGGACGTCATTATTTCATATTTCACATAACGATAAGCATTAGAGAATTTAGAAAATAGGTTATGACTTTAGCATGATGTAATAAAGCGTAATATATATCATAAAGTTGCCTTTCAACTTAATAACCGAATCCGTATAAAAATCTTTAACTCGTTAACTTGTCTCGTTCAAGCAGAGTTTTTTTCGATCGAAATCTCAGATATATATATCACAAACACAAAAAAAAAAAAAAAACGAGATAAAAAATAAAAAATCTATCACATCACAAATAACAAAAAAATATTAAAAATAACAAAGATGGCAGCACCTCTTATTAGTGATGGAGAAATTACCGCAATACCTCAAAACAAAGTGACTGTTGAACGTCGTGTGCCTGCTGGTCTGGAAAGTACCTTAGGAAATGCTGGTGAGATCCTAAAAAATATGGTTTAAACTTGATGTTGTGATTTTCTTGTTTATTTTTGACATGGTTCGTTGAATACAGGTCTTCCACGAGCTGTCATTGCTGCTTCTAAAGAGAAACCAAAAGGAACCGAGGGAAAAAATGTTAATAACAGAACGGTAATAATTTGATATCTTGTTACAAAGTAGATCTCGCTTTAAAAGCCAAGTGTCATAAATACTGTATGACCTGCTTTTTATTACAGGTCTTGCAACAACACGTCGATTTTTTTGATGAAGACGGTGATGGCGTTATCCGACCATTCGATACGCTACGAGGTTACCCAAACTCCTTAGCTACAATTTTATTATCAAGATCAAACTTTGGTTATTTATTTATTTATTTATTACGATTTACTTGTTTTTATAAATAGGATTTCGCCGATTAGGGTTCAATATTCTTCTTAGTATTATTGGCATGACTTTCATTCATATATCACTCTCCTATGTCACTCAATCGAGTTGGATTCCTTTCCTCGGAAACCCGTTCTTTAAAATTTATGTTGATAGGATTCATAAAGCAAAACACGGCTCGGATTCAGAAACCTTTGATAGTGAGGTACCAATCTTATGATTGAAGAAAAATGATAATTAACGTAAAATATAGTCATTAAACTGTACAGTATAATTCCTCATTTACAAAAATAAGGGTCGGTTTGTTCCTGAGAAATTTGAAGAAATGTTTTCAAAATATGATCGAGAAGGCAAAGGTGGATTGAGCTTTAGCGATATTCGACGTTTAATTCATGGTAATGCAAACGCGTTGGATCCCTTTGGATGGCTCAGCACTATAATTGAATTTGGTTTTTTATTTTTGTTGTGCGCTCAAAACGGTGTGATTTCCAAAGAGGATCTCAGAAGTCAATATGATGTATGTATATTATTTTTTTCGTATGTTGTATCAAAGGATTTCTCATCAAATAATAATTTTTTTATTTTTCATAAGGGTTCGCTTTTTTATCGAGCAGCAGAGCGTGAGAAGGAACGCAAATCTCGAAATTCTTACTTTTCCACGCTCTATAAAAGTATAAGTGAGGATTATTACAAATATCAATAAACAATTTTTCTACTACAGTATAATAGATTGATAGTTAATCATTGCTGTGCATAAATTATGCTCACTGTTTTTGAATATTGCTTTGCAATGTCATGTTATTTTATTGAATGTAAATATACAGTATTAAATTGGTTAAATTCATGATCTAAGCAATAATCTCTTGGTGGTTTTCGTGCTTGTTGGTTGCAATAAAAAAAGCTTCTCTATTTTTATTTTATTATTTAATTGCCATTTTTGTTTGACCTTATTGCTTCAACCTAGTGATTGAACTCGTTAACTCGTGATTCAAATAATTCGAGCTTATCACAATTTAAAAATAAGAAACACCAAGAAAACGATTTCTCTCGTATTTCCCATTTTTAGATTCCACTGAATACACGTTACTCTGGTTATACCGACAGCTGGTTTAACATTTTTTTTAAAAAAATATCTAATAATTTAAAATTTCGCTGGTTATAATGACAATTTTATAACCAGAGTAACCCTGCTGACCCAGTTGTCATATAAGAATTGTCCAATCTATAATGGTACTAATAAAGCTTAATCATATACTTTTAACGATTTGTAATTCAGAGATCACTTAGCTAATAAATTACGCGGACCAGTATGGTATAGATAAGTGGATCAGTTTAGTACCGGCCAATTTTTAAAATCTGTACTATACTCATATTAGGGTTAGGAATTTCAGCTAATTAGCTTTTTAAATTGGCCTGTACTATACTGATCTGCTCATACTGTATATACCGTGCTGATTTGCTGTAATTTCTATTATCCAATACTTCAATATGGATTAGTGATCGAAGCTCTTAAGACATGTTATTCATAACTGTAAAGATTATCGAATGTGTGCTTGGTAAATGTTAGAAATTTAAATATTGCTAAAGATAGAGCCAAGTAATGCAATACTGCAATAGCATTAATAATCATGGATCGACTTATCAATGTAGGGACAAGTACGATATAATGGCATCAACTAACCATAGAAAAGCATATGAAATGTTAAGTAAATATGAAGAATTATTTATAGGTTTAAATTAGCCATTGAAAATAGACCACACAATGCAATAGCATTAAATAATCGTATAGTAACTTATCAAATAATGGGTAAATATGATAAAATTGTTATCAAATTAATTAATGAGTCTTATAAAAATTAATTAGGCCGTTCGAAGTTAATTTTTCAGTTAACATCACTTTCCAGAACTCTTGAAAGGGGGAGGGGGCAAATGAAACGAACATATAAAATGAACAATCTATTATAACGAATTGACTTCAAGTTAAATTTGGTCTAAATATTCTAGTTGAGTTGCTAATTAAGTCAGATAAATTTGATTCAGTAGCCAACATTACATTCCTATTATAAAAGAGAGGGGCAAAAATAATTAATTATATAATGCATTCATCCGAGCAAAAGAACTTCGTACGTACGTACATACAATTTTACAGCCAAAACTCTCGTGATCTAGTGATCGGATCAGTATCATTTTTTAAAATATGTATGCAGCGATCACAGATCGGAATTTTGGGTTTACTAATCCTATTTGCCGAATACAAATTTTGTCCCTCATTGAATGAAATAAATCACTGATCGGATGGCTTAAAAAATGAAAAAAAGTATCGATTCGAATAATTGATTTGTAATTGTTATTTCCGTAAAAGTTAAATGTTTATTTAAAAACTTCTTACTCATTAATACTACAGTAGTTCTCTCTGAATAATCCTTTTTTTTTTTATTTTTTGATCGAAAATGTCAAACGAAAATTTGACCGAATTGATTGATGATTTCAGCAAACTGAATTTCTCAAATTGTCAAAAATTGGCAGATAAGAACGATCCAGACGGAATTTTCTGGCTCGGTTATTGTTACGAACATGGAATTGGAATTGAAAAGGATGAAAACAAAGCGTTCACGCATTATCAAAAATCGGCAGAAATGAAAAATTCTAACGGAATGTATAAAGTTGGTTTTTGTTATATTTTAGGAATTGGAGTCGAAATCGATAAGCAAAAAGCGTTTACAAATTATCTGAAGTCTGCTGAGGCGGGTAATTCGATGGGGTTTTGGAAAACTGCCATTTGTTACTATTATGGAATTGGCGTGGAGAAGGATGTAGATAAATATCGAGAATGGAGTGATAAGTAAGTTAATTTTTAATTTTTTTATTATAATAATTTTATTTGAAATTGAGATTTCTCATACAATTTTTAATTATTAGGGAGTGAGTAAGTTTAAAAAAAAATGCATTCATCAATCTAAATCGGCGATTTAAGTTCATAAATATTTATTTATTGTTATTTTTTAGCTCGTGAGTATAAAGAATTTACCAATTTTTAGAATAAAAACAAGTTTACAAATCAAGAAAGATCATAAATAAAATTATTTACCATTACGTTTAAATTCATTTCATTCTAGTTTGTGAGTATAAAGTATAAAGAACATTTATTAATTAATCAATGGAAATAAAAACAGCAAAACAAGTTCACAAAACAAGTTCATAAATACTTATTTACCATTACGTTTAAATTCATTTCATTCGC